CTCTGCCCCTCCCCCACTCACGCTGTCTGTCTCTCTCAAAATGAACTTTAAAAAATACATTTTAAAAAATGGTGATCTTGGGGTGCCTGGGTGGCACAGTCGGTTGAGCGTCCGACCTCAGCCAGGTCACGATCTCGCGGTCCGGGAGTTCGAGCCCCGCGTCAGGCTCTGGGCTGATGGCTCGGAGCCTGGAGCCTGTTTCCGATTCTGTGTCTCCCTCTCTCTCTGCCCCTCCCCCGTTCATGCTCTGTCTCTCTCTGTCCCAAAAATAAATAAACGTTGAAAAAAAAAAAAAATGGTGATCTTTTATCACCACTTCTTTGTTTGTTCACTGCACTATTTTAAAGAGAAACTGCTCCATCTACTACTTGGTTATGTAATGACACCATTTGTACCTGATAAAGATTGTTCTTTAAAGAAAAAATTACCAGTTCCTACAGTAAAGGGCTGCCTTGTTAGCATGCTCCCAGTTGATCATTTAACACTTTGTAGCATCGTTGTGACCTCAGGAAGTTGAACATGTTCAGGATTTTGCAGCCCCTTGGAGTTAACATCGTACGGATGGTCAGATCCTCCTGAACATTCCTTTATACGCGTTTACCAGGTTTCTTACAGTGAATCCTACACATTGTCTCTTTTATTGCCTTCGATGTTGGGTCTTTATGTCCAGAACTACTTTTCACTATATGACTGACACTACATAATTTCAGAATATTTTATACCCAGCTACCCAACTGTACATTCTTGTTTTTTACATTAGTGGTGTATTTGACTTTCCTGCATTTTCCAGGTATGTCATTACATTATCTGCAGATTTGTTCTTTATCATCTTTATTTTTGAGATCTGCCCCTCCGATTTCTTTCTGCTTAATTGCGTCAGCTCATAGGAAATAGTGGGGCGTCTAACAGACAGTTCCTTTTTCTTGTCTGACTTTAGCAGGAATGTGTGCATCTCCAGTGTTTCCTCATTAAGTATTATGGTCCCAGGAGTGGACTCTATATTCTAACAAGAGCCCTTAGGGGATTCATGTTTGTTCCCCTAGAGAAGTTTTATTCCTCTTAGACAAGGTTTTTGGTTTGTGGTTAGTTTTGTGTTTTCATTCTCCTTAGAAGGAAACAAATATGTTTATTTTTTTCCCCCCAGATTTGGAGTCACCATATGGGACCAAGAGTTTACCTACAGAAAAGGGCATTTACGAAATAAATTTATCCAGATGGAACTCAAATGGAAAAAGTAAATCCCTGAGCCTTAACTGGATGTGTGAAGGTGAGTTTGAAAGATCACAGGGCCCTCAGCAGGGCTGTTTGAATCAAGTGATAACCAACCATGAGAAAACGCCCACTTGTAGAGAAAATACCTCTGGTAGGCCACACCAGAGACCTCATGCTAGGGAGAATTCCTATGAATGTAAGGAATGCGGGAAGGCCTTTAGTCGTGGCTACCAGCTCACTCAGCATCAGAAAATTCACACGGGGGAGAAACCCTACGAATGTAAAGAATGCAAAAAGGCCTTTCGTTGGGGCAATCAACTCACGCAACACCAGAAAATCCACACGGGGGAGAAACCCTATGAATGTAAGGACTGCGGGAAGGCCTTCCGCTGGGGCTCGAGCCTGGTCATTCATAAGAGGATCCACACGGGCGAGAAGCCCTACGAGTGTAAGGACTGCGGGAAGGCCTTTAGACGTGGTGACGAGCTCACCCAGCATCAGAGGTTTCACACGGGGGAGAAGGACTACGAGTGCAAAGACTGCGGGAAGACCTTCAGCCGTGTGTATAAACTGATCCAGCACAAGCGAATTCACAGCGGCGAGAAGCCCTACGAGTGTAAGGACTGTGGGAAGGCCTTCATCTGTGGCTCGAGCCTCGTCCAGCACAAGAGGATCCACACTGGCGAGAAGCCCTACGAGTGCCAGGAGTGCGGGAAGGCCTTCACGCGAGTCAACTACCTCACTCAGCATCAGAAGATCCACACCGGTGAGAAACCACACGAGTGCAAGGAGTGCGGGAAGGCCTTCCGCTGGGGCTCGAGCCTCGTGAAGCACGAGAGGATCCACACGGGCGAGAAGCCTTACAAGTGCACAGAATGTGGGAAGGCCTTTAACTGTGGCTACCACCTCACGCAGCACGAGCGGATCCACACGGGCGAGACGCCTTACAAATGTAGGGAGTGCGGGAAGGCCTTCATCTACGGGTCGAGCCTTGTGAAACATGAGAGGATTCACACAGGGGAGAAGCCCTACGAATGTAAAGAGTGCGGGAAGGCCTTCAGTCACGGCCATCAGCTTACGCAGCATCAGAAGATTCACACGGGTGAGAAGCCCTTTGAAGGTAAGGAGTGTGGGAAGGGGTGTCACCATGTGAACCATCTTCGAGAACATGAGAGAATTCACACTGCTGGAAGACCTCTTGAACACAAAGAACATGCAGAAACTTCCATCCCACATTCCTTCCTTCCACAACACAAGGAAAACCCATGATACGATTTAACACGAGAAAGCCTTCACCAGACACCCTTCTGCTCACGGGACCTCAGAGGAGTCATGCTTGAGGCAGACTTGGAGAATGGAGAAATCACTTTTTCTTAGTGATCACCGTGTACCCCGTGTAGACTTTTTTTTTTTTACTGAATTGGTTAGTGCAGTGAGTGGATAGAAGCCTCCTATTACCACTCGATGTCTGTCTCATTTCAGACTTGTTCTGGGGAATAACTCCACCAATGTAACATATGCGGGAGAGCCTCCCGCCGTGGTACACTCCCTCCCCGTTATCGTCACCATCCCACCACTTTACTCCCTGTGATTCACTGGGGAAGTGACCTGGTACCCCCTGTGCGTTATGTGTGGAATGGGGATAATTACACCTAATCCTGCTGTTGTGGTGACTGCGTCTGGTACTTGTAAACTCTTTGAAAGTGTATCTGGAATATCACATAAGCTCAATAAATATTAGCTGTTGTTGTTCTTACCATCATTACCATGGGCGTTGCTCTTAGTGAATTCTTACAGGAAGACCCCCTTCCCTGTGGGTACAGCGGGTTTAGAAAAGACTCAGACTTCTAGAAGAAAATAACAGTAATCTAGAGATTACTGCCACGGCCTTGGGGTGGACAGCGTTTCTTGGTACACAAAAGATGCTCATTGTGAAATAAAACGTTTACACGTTGGATCTTGTTGAAAGTTGTTCGTCAGGCGAAACCACGAAGCCAGCAAAAACAGCAGGAAGAAGGCACTTCCTGTCCATGCACCTGGTAAAGGACTCACACAGAAAACCAAATCCCCCAAGTCAGTAACAAATTGGTGGGAAAGGCGGGGAGGGAGACTTAAATAAGTGCTTGACAGAGATCATCAAATGGCCGGTGAGCCAGTGAAACAGGTTCGACGTCTTTTCTCACCAAGGAAATAAGAAGTAACACTACCTGCGATTTCTCCGGATCACTAGAATAGCTACCATTAGAATCACGTGTGAGCCTGGCACTTTGTTGGATCGTCACACGTGACCTGTTCCGGAAGGAATATGGGACCAGCACGTGAGATCTTGGGGGTCCCACAGCAGGAGCAAGGAGGTGGTGCTCAAGGGGGGGTGGCGAGTGGACTTGCCCTGGGCGGAGGTGCTGGGACCCTCCATCCAGTCCTGGGAGAATGAAGGGAGCAGTTAGAGTCAGGAGTCCTAGGGAGAAGGGAGAGGTCATCTTGTGGGAAGGACTAGAGCCCACAGGAGTGAGTTTGAGAAGCTGGGGGAGGAATGGCTAGTGCTCAGAGAGGTCCTGGGAGACTGAAGCCTTCGAGAGCTAGACGACTTGAATGCCTGTGGGTCTGGCCTTGGTACGGGGGGTGGTAGTGTGGTTAGAGCACAGAGGAGCGTCCTACAAGGGCAACAGAGGATCCAGATTCTGGGGTCAACGTAGGGCTTAATGTTTGGTTTACCTCCGGGTTGGGGTGCAGTATTCACAGAATACAGATGTCTGCAGACTACAGGTGTGGGTGGGTGCTGTCCTGCATGAAGGGAAGTGGGGGCAGGGATAGAGCGAGGCCACCCAGGCACCCCCACAGTTTCAACTTCAGAAATCTTCAAACTCTGCTTTGGACTGTTTTCAAGAGTGTGGTCTCCCAGTGGTTGCCACCCTGGCATCAGAGTAGTTCTGACAAGTTCGTTCTTGCTGCCCATGAAAGCATCAATGCATAACCCTTGCTTCAGGCTCAGTTTTTGGGAGAACAGGGTTTAAGGCATCTTGATGCAGCTCTGTCACATCACTACATTTGCTTCTGGTGCATATCCAAAGCTGAAATTTCTACTGAAGGTTTTTTTTTTTTTTTAACTTTTAATGTTTGTTTATTAGAGAGAGAGTGTAAGCAGGGGAGGAGCTGAGAGAGGGAGACACAGAATCCAAAGCAGGCTCCAGGCTTTGAGCTGTCAGCACAGAGACTGACATGGGGCTTGAACTCGAACCGTAAGATCATGACCTGAGCC